AGCAATACTTTTGGTTGATATTCAGCGGTCCTCCATGATCATGTCTTGGATGGCTTTCACATTTGCAAGCACAGAGACAGAAACAGGCCTTCCACTGGGTTTCTCACCTTCAACACCGAAATGGCCAGTTTTAAAATTGACAAGTTGATGTTTAACTGTTGCATATGAAGGGCCACCTGTCACCCATAGTTTGTGACATTTCATCATGGATCTGCTTTGCCCCTTTCCCTTGGAGAAACAGGAAATTGGTTATAGTCCTATGCTCTTCCACTTTTCTAGAGGTGTCGCCATGTTCACTTTGGACTGGGAAATGAAAGGTACTGTAATTTAAAATTATAGGTAGCTGATTTTTGCACTGTTGAATATAGACATATTGGCCAATACACACTGCAGTTTATAGCTTCCTAGCTCATTTTTTTCTGGGTAAGGCTCAATACTTATCAGCACCCCCTCCTAGATTTGAGAAGCAAACAGACACAGCTGGGTTTTATCACTCCTCCCCCAGGCAAATACCAGGACCAATTTTATATAATTTGAACTCCAGCACCTGGGCAGTCATTGCACAATACCTTTTCCTGTACAAACATTATTTCCTATCACCTTGGAAGTCTCCTTTATTCATCCAACCATGTAACCTCTTTGCAAGATAATAAATTGTTTTCCGGTCAATAGATACAACAATGTAACCATATATTTCTAGAATTGCTGTCTGTTGACCTACCCTGTTGTAAAATTCCATCCTTTCTGTGATTCCCACTCAGATAAAGTTTTGGATTCCTTTGTAACCCCATCCATTCTGCCAATACAGTGGGGTCTCTACTTAAGAACGTCCCTACTTAAGAACAATTCCACTTAAGAACAGCTCCATTTGCTAAATTTTGCTTCTACTTGAGAACAGAAATCCAAGATAAGAACAGGAAAAAAAACTTTCCTGCTCTTTTTTTTACCTTAGGTCATCTTAGGTTAAAAAAAAGTTCTCCCCCTAGTGGTAGAGTACGTATTAACCAGCTTTGCATTAGTTCCTATGGGAACTAATGCTTCAATGTACGAACGCACCTCTACATTAAAAAAAAAAACAAAAAACAGCCAGAACGGATTAATTGGTTTTCAGTCCATTGCTTCAAAATTAGCTTCGTCAGAAGTGCTTTTAACACTGTTCCCTGACCTAAGGGGAAAAAAAGGAAAAAAATCCCCCTCTAGTGGTAGAAGGCGGAATAGCAGCTTCCCATTAGTTTCTATGGACGGAAAAGAGCAGATACGGATTAAATGGTTTTCAATGCATTCCTATGGGAAATGCAGATTCTACATAAGAACTTTTCCACTTGAGAACCACCTTCCAATACGGATTAAGTTCTTAAGTAGAGACCCCACTGTAGGTCATGAACCACCTATTTCTCTATTTCTCCTCCTATTCCCCTTTGTAACCAATGTTATAAAAGTCCTAATATTCCTGTGCAACACACCGTTGTTCCTGCCTACACTTGGAGGCATTAACTCTCTCTTGAGTCAAGATTTATTGGCAATTAATTTTGACTTGGAAAGTCTAGGGGCTATCCTGGACTCAACAAATGTGCCCAATAGTCATTGAGTCAGGAAGGAAATGAGGATTTCTAGTCTAGAGGTGAAAAGTCTCTTTAAAAAACAAACCCTAAACCAGCGGTGGGGAACCTGTGTCCCTCCAAATGATTGGGATTTCTATTTCCCAAAACCCCATGCAGCAAGGCTAATGATAACGAATTGTGAGGCTTCCCTAAAATGTTAGGATGGCTTAGGTTTCCCTGCTTATGCTTTAAATAGTGTCAATACATAAGAGACAGATTTGGTATGTTGAATCTTCATCCATAAACAAGACAAATTATTCACTTACCACACACCAGTTCACCCATTTGCTGATGGAAGTCTTCCATATTTAATAATTACAGCAACTATTTTAGGAGTAGAGCAGAGGGTTGTGTGAGGAAATTGGATGGGCTATGATGTCATACTTCACCAGCCTGCTAGAGGTGGTGCTTATCTGCATGATAAAGAAGACTTGTTTTGCTCTGTTCCAGACTGCACCAAGGATGCACCACACTGAGCCAGTGACATCACATTCCATTCCTAATTGCCTGTCAGAAGAACTGACTGCATGATAAAGAAGACTTGTTTTGCTCTTTCCAGACTGCACCAAGGATGTACCACACTGAGCCAGTGACATCACATTTCATTCCTAATTGCTTGTCAGAAGAACTGGAAAGAGGGTCTGAGAGAAGTTACAGTTTGAGGGTGAAGTAACTGGACAAAGGACTCGAATCTGATTAGATAACACCATGTTGGGGGAACATGGATTTAATATCTAGCAAGAAGTTAGTTAGGATCTGCTTTTTGTCAAGTTAGCTATTTTTTTACATCGGTCTACCTGCAAATGATGGATTAGGCATAGAGATGCTGTGGCAGGGCCTCAGTCATGATTACTTACCTGAAAAATAGTTAGCTTTTATTATTTTATGGAGATTGCTTTCATGGAAGCTCATTTAATTATCTGCACATGAATTGCATTATTTTGAAGCTTTTTTGAATTCTTTTAGTTTTTTAAAATAAGTTTAATAACCTTCTTCTAGTATTTTACCAAGGTGTGATCCTTAGGTGAGATGGGGGAAGGGATTGAGCGTCTAAAGAAGGTGTCTGCCCAAATGACTACATTTGCTATTTTTAAGTATTTTGGGTGGACTACCTGTCTGGTTGGTATACTAAGCATAAAGTGCACAACTGGGAAAGAATTTTGTCTCAGGTAAGGAGACAGGTGAAAACCTAGGTTAGAAACTTACCCATAGTTACTAATTCATGCACATTCCAGGTCTTCACCCAGCATGTATTCAAAGGGTGGTGGAAGGCAGTAACTACTGTACAGTGGTTCCTTCACCTAGTGGAATGCCCTTAGGGGGTTGTTTGCTTGTGGAGGAACTGTGACCTGGGCTTGTGCTGTGTTGTTCAAGGACAGCAAAATGTAGGAAGCAAGGAGATGCAACTGCCATTTTCCAAGGACCATAAGGCAACTAAACATAATATGAAACATTATTGTGCAACATATTGGAAGAGTGCTTTTTGAAAGATTTGTGTTTGTGCACACTGCTAGTTGATAAGTGATCATGGACAGCAATATATGGGCTTTAGGCATAATTACAAACATATTGTATCTGTGTACATTTTTGTATTGCACCATCTGTCCCAACACATTGCTTTTCAAGGGTTTACTAGGCAGGTTTTCTCTAGTTAATTCTCAAGTCTAGTTTTTTTTAAATGAGTTTTTAAAAAGCTTAACTATTTATATTCAAGATATTTCGGTAAGGAAGTAGGGTCGCCTTAAGGCACCTTGCCTTCCAGTGAAACTGTGTGTGTTTTTTTTAATTAGTCATTGGAAGTTAAATACAGGTTTATTTTTCAAGTCTGATTGCCTGGGCTTGTATCCCAGAGGAAATCACACTGCATGCTACAAACCACTGCCCTGGCATCCAAAAGACCTTTTCATCACTTGAACTACTACAAGAGATGGACTATAAGCAAGCAGAGGGAGGCATCACAAGCCAGCACTTAAACCATGCAGTAGTCTTCCTCCACCATTTTGTGATGCCACACACTATGCATATGTGAAGGAAAGGTGGACAAGAGTATGCCGTTTCCTCCAGATAGCAAGGACGTGGTGAACAAGGAAGGGGAGAGGGAGGTGAAGGAGCAGAGAGTTGACGAAGAAAGAGTTAAAGTGGAGGTTTGCTTGACAGAAGAAGGGAAGGGAAAGAGGAGGAGCAAAGAATTGACTGTGGAGGGAGGAGATAAAAGAGGGAACTGGAGAGCAGGATTTTTGGATTTCAATGAATAAGAAAGAGAGAGAGGAAAAGAAACACGAACATGTGAGTGAGCTGCTGAATGACTTTCCCAATTTGAAGGTGGGGGGACTGCTGCCAGACCTGATACCTGATAGAGAGGGAATGACAATCACTGAAACCTCAGAATGGACAGTGGTAGTCTTTCTGAGGGGACGAAGTCGCTGCAAGAGGGTGGTGCACCCAGATCCTACCTACAACAAGCCCCTACTGGAGGGGGACTGGGCTCGTCGCCCATGCTGTGGCACCATATGCGCAGTGAGGAGCGCCCCGATGAGGACAAGGAGCAGTTTGGCCTGGCTCCCCAGTATTAAGAGGAGATGTTAATTACAATAATTCTATGAGGTTTGAAAGACAGTTGTACGATTGGAATCAAGTTTATCCCAAGGAAGTTGTTATTGACACACATATGTTAAATTTGAATAAATCTGTTAATATTTTAAATGAGTCAGCCGTTTCAATTCCCGCACCAAAATTTCTCAAGAACCCAATCACAGCATATGAAAGTCATTTTAAAAATGTAGCATTATTCTGCAAAAGGAGTGATGCTATTTCTTATGTTACAATAGCAATGTAGTATATTTATGCCTTTGTGATTTAAAATATATTAAATATAAGCAACTAGTAACCTAGTGGAGGAATAGTAAATATTTAGTATTTAGATATTAGAAGTGACTAGTTATCTATATATCTCAATTACTAAATGTTTGCCAACCCTCCCTCACAACATTTCTATGTTGACACAATAACTGTGTCAGAAATCCCAAACCAGCAGATTGTAGAGGAGTGTAATATATTGATTAAGAAAGTGAAATAGAAGGAAAACTCAAAACATGAAACCATCTCTGGGATGATCTAACTGGAAAGTAGTGCTATGTGGGAAAACCCAAGATAGTTCACATAAACAAATGTGCTTTGAGGATTGCTAACCAAAGTTACCACAGACTGGTGCTTAAAGCAACACTGAGATTAAAAACAAGATGATTTTAGATCTTCGCCAAAGGAAAAAAAAATCTGTAGATATTTCAAGCACATTATGGAACATAAGAACAAATTTTCAAGAGCTATTTTTAGTTGGCCCATAATTTTGAAGCTATACAATCAGGCTGTTTTTCCCCCCTGTTCCATTGAACAACAAACCAGTTCATGAACAGATCTTCTCCTCCTCCTCCACTTTGGACAAGCTTTCATGATGCCAGGATTCTGTCATGTCTTTCATCAGCTGCAGGGCTGGCCCTACCACTCTGAAAGGCAGAATGAGGCAGCAGATGATACAAGGATAGGGATTGGCAGCAATGTGGTGTCAGACAGATCCATCTGTATAACATAGTCTGCCCTGGAACTCCTAAGCCAGTGGTTCTTAACGTGGGCAATAATGCCCCCCCAGAGGGCGATTTCATTTTTCAGGGGGGCAGTAGAACGAAAAGGGGCAGTGTGGGGGCGAAAGAACAGAAGGGGGGCGGTAGGGGGGCGCTGGAGCGAGCCAAACCTGTGAAGGCGACTGCAGCCGCAGTGCTGGCAGTAGATCCGGTGGTGCTGCTGCCGCCAGATGATCCATCTCTTTCTACCTGCCACGTCTCACCTTTCTCCTTTAGGGGAGCACTGAGTGTGGATCGGGTGGAAAGAAAGGGTCTCTTGGGTCCTCATCCTCGCTCCGTGAAGCGCTGCCTTGCACCCGGGTGGAGAGGGAGACTAGGTAGGTAGGTAGGTAGGTAGGTAAGATATCATCACCTCAGGGAGGGGCGCGATGATAACTTCCTCAATGGCTCAAGGGGGCGTTTCTTTCAAAAAGGTTAAGAACCACTGTCCTAAGCTATTCTTGCCCTCAAGTGTGATGCATCTTAGGTCAGCTGCCACTACAGTCAATTTCTATGCATGGCATGGGAGGAGAGTGCCATTTTGATATTTGGTCCAGGCAGCAAAAAGGCCTTGAGCCAAATTTGTTTAGCTGATATTGACCACATGAGGTTCTTCAGCATCTTATCTATGTGTAGAAGCTGAAAGGTTTGGTACTACAGTATCTGTCAGTGAGGGAAGTGTTGTGTCATGAACATTGGCAGGTACTGAAATAATGATTAACAATGAGTAGACATGTCTTTACCATGTGAATGTTATCAACAGGTTTTCTGGGGTATGATTAAGATGTATTATTCTTCTGAAAGAAGCATTTGTCATATTTTGGACTAACTTACTGTGAACTCTAGTCCTGGTTCTTCATCTTGCTATTGGTTTATGCCACAAAAACAGTCAAGAAAGCATTGCCTGTTAAATATATTTCTCATGTGTAGCTCTGTACAGCCACAACATCTTTGAATAGGTGCACTGGAATCTGGAACAATCCATTCTGGAAGAGTTGCATTTCTGCTTCATGCTCCAAACTATTCTCCTTTGGACAAAGTGCACTGAAAAAGAAGCAGCCAGTATTTGGCTTCAAGGAAGGTTTAAAAACATGCATTTCCCCCTTCGTTGCACACCTTAATGTAGTGAGAGGATTTTCATGGGTCAATGAGGCAGTACTGTTGGGAGGCTAGATTCCTAGCAGGTCCTCTGTAGTTGATGGTCAAAGCTGAGACACCGGACTAAAATGCATTCATTCTCTTCAGAAATTCATGATATCTCAGCAGAAAAAAAAATTGCAGTGTTGATAGAAGTCGTAAAGCTCTTCCAAAGCAAATACCAGATGGCAAAGGGAGAGCACATTGATGGATGATCTTTGATAGGCAAATGGCAGTGACACTCAAGCTAATGTTTGTTAGTAGCGCACAGAAGGTAATGATAAACCACTGTTGAATTCTTGATATTTTAAAACTCCTATTATGAGATATTCTAAAATAAGACAAGAAACTGTGATGGAGACTGCAAGGTTAGATATCACTGAAGCTCCTGGGGAAGAACTAAATTCAGTTTTTAATGAAAACACTGGACTAAAGTCTAAAGGACATTCAGCTGCTGATGTTCACAAATGCAAGTGGAAAGTCTGAAACTGTATGATGCATGTAATTGGAATGTGGAATGTTTGAAACAAGAAATGGAATTTATAAACATCACAATACTTGGTGTGAGTGAATAAAAGTAGACTAGTGCAGGGTAATTTCAATCAAATGATTACAAAGTATTTTACTATGGAAATAATTAGCTCAGAAGATAGTGGCTCTAACAATGAGGCACAATGTAGTACAAGCAGTTATGGGGTATAATGGAACTAATATCAATCAGACTTCATGGAAAGCCTTAATATAACCATCATTCATACCAAAGCTAGTTTTCTTCTTTCAGATAATTCCAATATTATTAAAACAAGATATTTAAAAAAGAACTAAATAAGATAATCACCAAGTTTGTTTGTCTGTTGTATTTTATTGTTCTTTTGTATTTTATTGTTTAATTTTATATTGGAAGCTGCCTAGAGTGGTCCATCGGTCCAGATAGGCGGGGTATAAATCAAATAAATCAAATAAATAATAAATAAAATAAAATTTGGGATCAGAAAAAACAAGAATAAAACTTATGGCTCTTTAGGACAATAAACAAAGAGGAGGGTTTGGCCTACCAGATTGGATGAATTATTACAGAGCAGCAGCTCTCTTCTGGGTGAAGGAATGGATTATTCTGCAAAATGGGAGACTTTTAAAAATTAAGGAGCATGATTTAAGGCTAGGCTGGCATGCCTACCTATGGCACCAAGATGACAAGCAGTGCAAAACATTTAATTTACATTTCATCAGGAGAGCTCTGTCTGGTTTGGAAAGCAGTTAAGGTTTGAAATGATAGAGAAAATTTTAGGGGTTAAAATTGCTTTCACAACAGAAATTTTCTTATTGAATATATTACCAGCTACCCTCGAAAAAAAAACACAATTT